TTTCTTTTCTATTTTTAGTAGAGACGGGGTCTCGCTCTTGCTCAGGCTGGTTTCGAACTCCTGAGCTCAAACAATCCGCTCGCCTCGGCCTCCCAGAGTGCTAGGATTACAGGCGTGAGCCACTGCGCCCGGCAAGACACTGCCTTTAAAGCAGCCAGACATGGCATGGGGACCTCAGCACTGACAGTATGGGGCACAGCATCTCTCTTGTAAAGTAGGTGGTGCCTGCCTACTCAGGAACAGAATTATTCTTCGTTTCCCAAATGATGAGAGGTCAACAGCCTTTTCTTCTCTCTCTCCTTTTTTTGTTAGACAATGAATCGTTGAGAAGGGATGAGAATAAAAGCTGGGCCCAGTAACTATTAGACAGCTACCCTTTACTGCCTGCTTATTATGCGCTAGTACCTTACACGGTATTGCATTTAATCCTCACAACCCTCAACATCCTCATTCTATAAATGACAAAACCAAGCACAGAGAGGTGAAACAGTTTGTTCGAGTTCACACACCCCACAGGTGTGAGAGCTCAGGTTCAATCCCAGGATTATCTGTCCCCAGCCAGGCCCATATGAAGCTGTGCTGCCCAGACGCATAGATGGGGCCAGTGAAGGACTGGAATGGCAGCATGACAAGCAAAGGAACAGGTATTGCTACTGTATAAAATCTATTATATTACATAACAGGCATATTGAAGTACACGATAAACCTTTCGTACCCTTGTGCAAAGTCTAGAAGTTGTGCAACAACACATTCTTTCTTGCTCTGTAAGAAATTTATCACTGCTACTTGTGAGCATGTTTCTTAAAATTTAGGGAAAATCCAAAATGCACAGGGTAAGGAATCTGAGAAAACAAGCCCTAACTCTGACCATAAGTGCACCAGGCTACAAAACTGAATGAAGCAGATATGGAATAAACCAGAAAAACTACTGCAATCCTTACATTAAATCAGACATTAAGAAGGCTACGCTTAGTAGCTCAGCTTAAGGCAAACAGTATGTGACAATGAAGAGAAAGTCCTAGAAACATATTGGAATAGAACACATTAATCCATAATACTCTGCAGAGTGCAAATCCCATGAAAATAAATATCTATTTAAAGAGGGTGAAAAGGGAAGTCACAAGATTAGAAAATAAGACTTACGAGAAAAACCTGGTAATAGTTACTTGGAGGAAGGCACATTTCTTCTAAGACATAAACACTCAGGCCAAAACCACTGACAAAGAGGGGTGTGAATAAATTTGGAAAACTGTAACAGACTTCTCAGATGTTACATGAAGAGGATTCTTGTAGGATGTTGCCTACTGGTAGGAAGATCCTAGGATAACTGCAACCAATTCTATGAGTCTGTGAATATTTTAAGAACATAAGAAAACATCCCTAAGACACTGAAAGCTACCAAAATGAATCTTTAAGCTGTAACACTAATCTATTCAGGTAGATGTGAAACTCTCCTCTGCAGAACCAGAATCAATCATTAACCTCTCATAAATTTATCATGATCATGCATTTTACAGTTCACTTGTTTATTGTCTACAAACTCCATCATGGCAAAGATGAGGCCTTTTTTATTATGACTGTAGTTCAAGGACTTAGCACAGCCCCTGGAACGTAGTATTTGTTCAATAAATATTTCTCAATAAATGAAAGAACAGAATAACTCTACATTCAGAAAATGTTATTTTATTCTTGCCCGAATCACATGAATTTGACACAAAGCTTTTTCCTCCTATCAGGCAAACTAATGTCCCGTTTCCATCATGTTCTTCTAGACATTTCCCAGGGTAAATTATGAATGGATACATGTTGATCTCACCTATCATTCCTTATCTAGAATTTTATGGCACTGAGTTACTGTTAATAATGGTCTTCATTGTACTCTGGGGCAAAAATCTTTCTTCAGAATTCTAGTTTTGAAAACATTTGAAATAAAAATAGACACCGAGGTAAGTTCAAATATCTTCCACAGACTTTGCAAACAGGCACTATCTGAAGAGTAATTATAAATGAGTCTGCTGGTTAGCAAATTAAGCACATATTAGGTATTTAAAACCATATATATAGAGAGTGCCACACTACAGATTCAAATAATGACCTTTTTGACACAGTCTGTCAGGTTTTCATTTAGATTAATAGAATAACTTTCACACACTCACTTGTGTCATGCTTATAAAACTCAGAGAGAGAATTAAAACGTGAAACAAGTTTTGCCAAGAGGGTTAAAAGAATTGGTGCCCGTGGGCCTACCACTGTCAGTCATGGTGATGGGTTAGCGCTGTGCGGACCCTGATGTTCCACCATGGCTGCAGGGAGAACAAACTGCTCTGTGGCAGCTGGACAAACTCTTTGCACCTTTACTGTACATAAACCACAAATAGTTTATTCTCAAGAGGCAAAGTTCATTTAAGAAATAATGATCTGTTTAAGGCCTACCTTAATTCACTGACAATACTTGTTTTCTGAAAATACATATTTGAATTTGCTCTTGTGAAAAATCAAACTAAACGACCTTATTCTACACACAATAGCTTAATTTTCAAAACTGGAATTTTTCATAGAAAATTTTATTGCCTTTCAGTTTCAAGGATCTTTTGCTGGAATACTGAGTACCTAACAGCCAAATTACTGAAATGTACTCCAAAGCACTGAAAATTACCATGATAATTTATATCCAAATGAAACGAAAACATAAATCTGATAGATAAAGCATCTTCCTATATTTTAACTAGACAAAAGCTCTATTGTCCCAAGACTCAAACTTAAAGTTCATGTTCCTTAACGAGGTAAACAAGCTTATAAAACCAGTAAAAGTTTCTTGGTTCTTAACCTGTGTTTCAGTAAGTGCTATGAATTTTTGATTATTTCTATTTTATTTCATTACTACAAAATATTTTAATGCAAGTATTAAAATTCTAGGATTCTCACACTTACCTGTACGGCTTATCAGAATTATGGATTCGTCTGTGGTTTCTCACACCAACATATGTGGTACTTGTATAGTCACACACATCACATCTATACTGTTTCTGGACTGAAGACTTATTCCCTAGACAAAGTATTTCAGAGTTTTAGCAGCATGTTTTGATAAGATTTAAATGACAGCATTTACATTCCATTATAAATGAATATTTATACCACACAGTAGTAGTAACATTCCAATCAAGGCTTTCTCACTGTTTAAATTTAACAAGTTTGAAGTGGTTTTACAGGTTCTCCTGCATCAGTTGATATAAACTGAGTATCATCTCTAACCTATAAACCTAGATAGTTTGGGTTAGTTTCTGCATAACCTTATACAAAATTCTAAATTATAATGAACTTGCTTCCTGCTGACAATGTAGCAGCTACATTAACCAGAGACATGCTGTTGATCTGTATCAACAAATAGGTGCTACTCTAATCAATATTGGATATATTGTCTTAAGGAAACAGTGATTCTCCAACAAGCTGTAATTTAATACTATAATCCAATATTATAAAGTGTGGCTATGAAGCATATATGACAAACTCAATATAAAAAGCCTAAAGCTTTCTCACCCTGTGGGTTTTCTTTCTTTACAACTAAATGTCAGCCAACTGCACCACGGAAGAAAAAGCACCTGCAAATTATTAAGTGCTATATAATGTAGTGTAATTCTATCTAGTAAACTGACAGGATACAGAGACAAAGGTTACGACTAACATGAATATGTAGCTCCCTGAAATGCAGGAAACAGAGATCCAATGCAAATAGGCCATGCTACTAAACTCGCTCTGCAACAAGAAGGCTGGGTAATTAAAGTCGGGCTGGGCTTGCGACAATACAAGTTGAATGATCTGATCATATCAAAGTGTTTCCTGAAGACATTCAAGGCTTCATTTGCTCTCTGTCAGCATACGGTCCACAGGCTACTCACACCTGACTGCTTCACGTTCAGACACAAAGCAAGCTTGGAGGCTCAAGAGTAAGCAGAGCAGGAAGAGCTGTGTCCCTTGGCAGGAAGAAAGCTCAGGTGGAACACTAGTACATAGTGCGCCAAAGAAAAATTAATGGTACAAAAGAAAACCCACGCTGAAATTTCAACAAAGAAAATCCTTAAGTTAAATTTAAGCTTTCTAAAATTGAAACTTTCTTTTGCTAATAACTACTGCCAGGCAGAACAAAATGTCCTAATTTCCTGGTATAAATCTACAACATTAATATACACACTAATCATAATTATAATCTAAGTATTACTCTTAATTGGTAGGTTAAAAACTTGGACTTGATTACAAATGGCACTGTTCCAAATACAGTTTTAAAAAAATCCTGAAAAAATGAAGTGTGAAATATTGGATAATGGTTTTGTGTGAGAAATATTACAGATCAATGACAACTAATAAAACTGACAGATGGAAAAACTTAATATAGCACGGATGAGAGCCTGTGCTACTTCACGCAACTGTTTCCAATGGAAAGAATATTGGATTTAAAGTTCAAAAACTTGGGCTTAGTCCTTGCTCTGCCACTTACTACCAGTATGATCATGGGTAAATTATGTTGCCTCTTGGGGTCTCAGTTTTCTCACCTACAAGATGGAAATACTAGAACCTCGCGCTGTGGTTTAGCAAGTCCTGCATTTTTCCTTCACCCAAGTCTGCACATTACCGGCATGTCTGGGTAAAGTCTCTGCCCTGTCACTAAGCTGTACATTCCCTGAGGGCAAGGATGTGCTTGTTTTGTTTATACTGAATCCCCAGGGCTTGGTAAATTACAGGTTTCCAATAAAAAACAATTTAATTGAATTTCATAAAGAAAGACCCTATGAAAGTGCTTTGCCCACGGTTCTGTCAGAGCACCTGTGGTGTTGGCCGTTGTCCCCATCAGTCCAGTTGTTTTCTTCACGGAGCTGGGTTCCTCAAGGGCAGTGACACCCTTCATTGTACTCCCAGTACACAGCTCAGTATCCAGCTCAACACAGGAATGCCATGCCTGTTGGCCGAATGGATGTCTGACGCACAATTATACCCGATCTCTAAGTTGCAAACACACCCTAAGGTATCTGTGCTATCATAATGGGCAGAAACAGGGACCACAGAGGCACACATCTCTCTTCTATTTTAATAAATTTACTAAATGGTTAAAGACGTTTTAACAAAACATAAATTATTATTACCTTCTTTGCAAGCTAAAAATTTGTTCTTTGGCCTGACAACCAGATTTCAAACTATCGAATATTGAATTAATAAAGTACCCATCCACGTGTAAGTAGGAAGGAAGACAGTCATCTGAACTGTTAATGCCGTGACAGAAAAAAGCAAATGGAGCCATGTGGGGTGAAAAAAGGCACCGCAAGCAGTTTAAAATCCGTACATTTATCCCTAAGAAAAAAGTACAATCCACAAAGAAAAGAAGCTGCAAAATGGAATATGGTGAATAGACACTAGTACTGTGGAGCTGGAAATGGTTTAATTTTGAGTTGACATTTTAATCTTTTTATTAAAATTGTGAATTTTAATCTGTTAACTCATTGAGACAGTTTTATTTTTGACTTTTGAAGTCAAAAATTTTTGTTAAGCTGGTGCTAGGAAAGCCATATTCCAGCACTGGAATTAACTGCAGGTGGTGCCACTGAGTAGTACGTACTTTATTCCTTCATTAGGGATTTACGGTCCAATCATATCAAATGTTTTAATGTCTCCTTTAAAGGGGCTATGGAAACATAATGAATTAAAATAAAAGGAGGCATTTAGGGCTATTTTGTAAAGAGGAAACAAAACTGTTTTAGCTCAGCCATCTATCGCAGAAACAGATGCCATGTCATAAACTCCTTTTGTTTTGGATAGTTTTACAGGGATGACATCTGTTTGACAAGGGAATTTTGGTGCTACAGTGGTGTCAAAATCAGTTCTTTCAGAAACATTCTAGAATCAGTTATGCTTTCTGGGGTATAATTTAATGAAACATTATGGTAAAACATTTCACTCTGTAGTCGTTTCTAACTTTAATTCTTAGCAAATCTAAAAAGGAAAGTCACCCCAATATGTTTTATTTCCCATAAACACGATGTGCTCCACTTGAGACATTTAAAGTATATCAATTTAAGTGAGCCGAAGCAAGGAAGCACAGCTTAGTACACTTTATCCCCAATTCTCCGGATGTGGCATCCGCCTTTTCATGGAACTCTAATTAAATCTTTTGATTCTAATATTCCTATTACCAGAAACTCGGCCGACTGGTACCTAACTAGTACATAAAAAGATCGTGTGTGTGTGTTTTTTAAAATAATGCAGATGAAATCTGGCAGTCATACTTGGATAAGAATAAGATCACAGCAGGAGGCCTCAGTTAAAGTTTGAGGTGGGGGCCCACCATCTGCAAAAGCTATATTCTCAGTAGGTCAATTGGGACCGAGAGAGGGAGAGGAGGTTTTCTTTCTCTGTTGCAGCTTCTCCTGCTTGCTGGTACGGCACCTTCCAGGGGTCTATGCTGTAGCTGGGCTCGCACAGGACAACATAAATTTCAACTGTACTATCTACCTACACAGCTGAAGCTGAGTCCTTCCTTACTAACCTAGTGTTTCTTACCCAGGAACTAGCAATAATTTACTTCATTTAGCACTCGGCATTTCCTCAGAAACAAAGATAAGATTCACTCACATCCATAATGTAAAAATAGGGGAGAACTCATACACTTTAGTCCTGAAAATAACCCACAGGACAACTAAGGGCATTTTTACTTCGTATGCTAGTCATTGCAGCCTGTATAAAAAAATATTAACACATAGATACCTTCCTGAACACACTTTCCATCGGTTGTATCACTGGCAATTCCTGACTCGTTAGAAGTTGCTACTGACGCGGTATCGGGAGGACTGTGTTGTTCCCTCTCATGATTCCTCAGTTGACTCTAAAAAATGGAGAGAATATATAATTTTCAGTAAATACACATATCCAATTACTAGGAGGCTGTAGAAAGGGTTTATTGCTTTCATGGCCTAGTACCTAGAATATATTACCAGTATTTAAAAATCAAATCTGATGAATTGATATATTTGACAATTTATAGAAACAAATACATTAGATAAATCATCAACTCTTCAAAAAGGCAGTTCCTCTTTCATATTCTCCAAAAAGAAGTCACTGCTGTCATAGGTGGTGTTTGTGCATGGCACACGCATGCTTACTGACCTGCTTGCTGCAGGCCCAGAGGAGAAAAAAGCAGTGTTCGGAATAATGCTGCACTTGCACAAAAATAAATCCGCGTAAGTAATCACTGGAATCCTAATATTTGCCTTTAATTATCAACTAAGTGTGTTAGAGAGACCTAACTGGAACTGTTCCTCCAGTGATCTCCTCCTCCTCCTCCTTTCACCCCCATGAATCAAGAGCACAGCAGCAAAAGAAGCTCCTGGAAACTTCTGGAACTTGCATTTCAGCTCATTTGGACGTGCTACTTGGAATTTCATGGGGGCAAACCAGGCAGCACTGAATCTCAGACTCAAAGGCTTTTTTTTATTCCTGGTTACCTTTTTACCACCAGCTAGACCCCAACTCTGGGTAGTCTGAGAGAAAAAGTCTACATCCCAGTTAGCCCTTTAGGATACATTTTTAAAACATTTTCAAAGAGTCACCTGGCCCACAGAAGAAGAAAAATTCTAAACCAAGGAATCAATGAATGCAAGTTTCCTTTACAAAAGAATGATTTCATACAGGCTATTGGTTTTAAGGTCAGCACATGAGATGAAAAACACAGTAAAAATTACCCTTTGAAGTCCTTTAAACTGGCTGTAAAAAACAGTATTTGTGGCTCTATTTTCACTGTACTGCCTTTCAGTAAGTCCAATACAGCCCACTTTTCCTTCTGCAATGACACAAATTACCGTTGGCTGTGTAGCAGCTGAAACAAATGACTTGCATTTTGGGGCCACGTAAGATGAAAAACACATATTTTTTACCTTGATGATACATGGTTAAATTTGTGTAAGTCAAATGTGTGTATCATGTCAATCCACTATACATTCATTCCCTTGTAACTGAAAATCAACACTTAAAAAATATATATATATACGCACTAGAACACTAATAAACACAGAGGTTGTTTGAGGAGGCAGCAGGCAGGGGGAAGATTTCAGCAGCAGAAATTCTGAAGGCCTAGATTTCAGTCCCAACTTCAACACTAATTAGCTGGGATCCCCGGGGCAAAGTGTCAAACTTATCTGGGACTCAGTTTCCTTATCTATAAAACAAGGTGGTTGGATTAGATCTACAAAGTTCCCGCCTGACTCTACAATTCTGAGGTCCTCTGAAAGATTTCATCAACCAAGGCTTACCTTGTAATGAAAAGATTCTTCACACCGCTTGCACTGGTATATTCTGGTTTTACAGTGGTTGATCATGTGGCTCTCCAAATCTTTGCTATTGTCAGCTATGTGCTCACAGATGGGACACTGGTAAGGCTGTCTCTGTCGGTGGACTCGCAAATGTTGCTTGATGTAGCCTTTGTTACCGCTCGTGTAGTGACACAGGCGGCAACGGTAGGGTCGCTCAGCGTTAGGGATGTACTCCACCACGCTGCTTCCCGACAAACCGCTATCGTTGTTGGGTTGGCACTGGGCGTTGTCCTGCAACTCTTTCAAAATATCATCGTCTGAAGCATTCTGGTCTGTCCTTTCTCTCAATTTTTCAATTACGGTGAGTAAGGACATGCTGATGCCTGTCTTAACTTGCCCGACTGACAATTCCTGCCTTCCCTCCGGGAGTGCTACCAAGGTAGAGTTACTTTGGTTAAAACTAGTTAATCCATCTGGGGAGTTTTTAAGCGGTGACATCATTTTTGAATATGCTGCCAAGGTACTATCTACTTGCCTTTGTCCAGTATCTGGGTCTAAAAGGTTTATATCCCCATAGTGCCCGAGGTTGGCTCTTGTAAGTTCTGCAGCTCTTATAGGCATCGTGACGAGGGCTTCTGCAGCTAGCGAGTGCAGTCTAAGAGACTCTGAATTTGTCCTTCTTCGGCCTGGCGGGGCATTCTCATCAGGGGCCAGGCCTTTATTTATCAACTCGTCTTTCTTCTCTGCATTGCTCCAGCCTATGATCAACCCCCCAATATCAACGGTACATTTATCGGCGTGATAAACGTCATCCGTTCCTTCACACCCCATCTGGGCTTCTGCCTGGCTCAGGTTTTTCCCCTCTTCAATTTCGGCATTCATGAGGAAATGTTTCTGTGACAGAGTTTCTTCGGCACCTGGCAATCGCTCCACTATCACGTTAACGTGACCTTTTTTATTTGGGCTACTGCTAATGATTTTCTGTGCTGATGAGAGCAGGCTATCAGCAATCAGATTCTCCTCCGCGTCCGAAATCACCTCGAGCATTTCTTCCTCACTAGCGTCAAGGGTGACCGACTGACTTAGGTGTACTCCCCTTTCTGCACTCTGTTCTAAAGGAGATGACGATGGTAACTGTTCTGAACTGCAAATCTGCACTTGTACCGATGGCCCATTGTGGATACTCAGTTCACTGTCTCCAATGGCAATGACGACTGCATCGACCCCACCAGGTGTGGCAGCCACTGAAGAATCCAGCAAGCCCAGGGGCTCATTTTCATTTTCAAAGATTGGATAGGAGCAATCAACTTCTCCAGCATGTTTCCAAGCATGTGTTTTCAACATCCTCTGCTGGCCACAAGTATAACTACAAAACAAGCATCGATACATGCCATATTGTTCATACGCATACCATTTCCTCCTACCCATTTCTGCCACAGATGAAGTTTGGATAGTATGAGTTTGCGGACTGTCCGCATTTACCGGGACATCGGGAATAGGTTCATTATTTCTTTCTACTGTTCTCTGACATAAGGAGTTGGAAGGGCTTACGCACTGCTGGGCTTTGGATTGAGTGAGACTACTGGCATCATTTTCATGGTCATTTACCACGTGAGCTTCAAGTTCCTCTTGGCTTTTAGATGTGATATGGCACTCTGAGCACATCAATATCACTTCATTCTGCTGACCATGCTGCTTAATATGATCTTTTAACACAGGAAAAGATGATGACAGAAACTTACAAAGGCTGCACTGGTAAGACATAGCCTTCCCGTCATTCTGGGCAGGAGAGTCAGCGGTAAGATTTGTTTGTGACATCTCAGCCCTTCTAATAGCAGCAGCAGGTGATTGGGTTACTTTAGCTGGAATCTCACAGAGTTCTTGGGTTTCAAGAGAGCATGTTGTGGCACTTGACCGTGTGCGTTTTTTCCCAATTAAAAGACATTTTTGTGACTTTTCATGTTCCACTATCTTGCTTAACTTCTGGATAACATGAATTAATGGATCTGTTTTAGGTTTTCTTTGTTCATCAATTTCCAGTGAAGGACTGATGATACTTTCAGCAGTCAATATAGCTTCTTGCTCTCCAATATCTGGCACCAACATGGCAACACTGCTGCTTTCTTCCATATCTAAAAAGGGTAACACACAACAGAAAAGATACAGGTTACAGGATAATTACAAACATGTAATTCAGGAACTATATGCCAATTTTAAGCTCATCTTAGTCTTTTCTAAGATGGGAGCTCTGCATCAATGTGCCTGGCTATTCCCAGTATAGACAAATTGTTCAGAATTTCCTTTGGAATGCAATCTCCTGTAAAGACTGATGGTGAAGATCTTTCCATCCTTCCCTTGTTTCTTTGGAAATGACTTTAACCACATTTATCTCAATTTTTCTTCACTTTCTTTGCCCTTGACATCCAGATGAACCCAATCAGTACACCCTTTTGCACAATGCCAAGGAAAAAGACTCTTATTCCCTGATTAAAGGAATATCGCCATTCTCATGGAATGGGGAACCACCTCAAGTTACTGAGAAACAACAGTCTATAAAGCCAATGATTGATACAATTCTTTTTTTAAAATTTTTATTTATTTTTTTTAGAGACGCACTCTGGCTCAGGCTGGTTTCCAACTCCTGAGCTCAAGCGATCCTCCTGCCTTGGTCTCCCAAAGTGTTAGTATTACAGGCGTGAACCACTGTGCCAGGCCCAATTGATACAATTCTTGAGAAACTATTCTTACACCAAATAACTGTAGTTTTATTACTAAAATCATAAATTTCTGTTTTTTTTTCCTCTCCAAATTGTGAAACCATAGTCATTTAACCTATTGTAAAGGGCATAGTGAATTTTGAGAAGTACTATGCAAATGAAACTAAATAAAAGCAATGATCTAGTTCCTACTTTTACTTCCTTTGATTTATCTTCCTGAAGATAAACCACAAACTATGCTGTGGTTTTTTTAGAGAGGTCACATTAGTGGTCAACTATTACTCATACCCACATATATGTATTTTTTTTTTTTTTCCTGAAAGGGAAAAGGGCATCAGAGAAGGAAAAAGTTTACATCCCAGTTGTATTTCAGGTCCAGATATGAACAGAGTCCTTAGAAAAGGTTATTTGTAGGTTCTAATAATGCATGATGGCCAAGGAAGTCACTAAACATAAAATACTCACAAATCTTTCTGCCTAAGTCTTGAATACTCTTTATATTTCCTGGCAGTACTTTCATTTCAAACATTTCCTTTGGCTTAAAGTGAGATTAATTTGTTGACTTGGATCACATTTTTAAGTTCAGGCTTTTTTCCAGCAACAAGTTTTGTTTTTCCACATTTTAGGTGCATTCTGGAATCTTACTCACAACATTCAATAAATGCCAGCAAAATTTTTAGTGGCACTAGCTATAGACCAAAGACCATACTATTCTTAAACTTCAGTCACAGGCTCCGAATTCCTATTTTAGGTGGTGAATCATGGCTTCTCTTCTTCACATGGCTGAATCAACATATAAGGGCCACTGGGCACCTGCCAGGATTATACCTACACTATACCCCTCCCCCAGTGCTCTGACCAGCTTCTGTGCCAGGACGCCCACATCAATTTTGGGCAGCAGCTACAGCTTTTCCTCTCCTATTTTCTACTTCTCTGGCACACCAGCTTTCTAGATTTAGGTCCATATCAGGCAAAAGTACAAACATTTTACTCTTGGCTTCTTTGGTACTACTTCTTCCCTCCTCCCTAATACTCTGCCCCATGGGATCGGCTTTTTTGTCTTTTCCACTGACTGCCCTCATGGCAGGAACTGCGTTCCACAGACATTACAACAATGACAGCTATTCTAGCTCCCAAAGGCCAGTGGTCCTTCAGCCACTCTTTCCCCTGAACAACCTCTCAAAAGACTAGTTCTGTTTCATCTTTCTCAGGTAGAAAGAACAAGTCTTTTTAGATCGCTACATTCAAGCTTAAGTGACTGAAGAGGAGACCAATAGGGGAACAATTTGTTTCTTTAGAAAAACCCTCCTGTGACTTTCTAAGTCACTTTACTGTCTTAGAATTCCACATTTTTAGGCCAAGGGGAGCTGTGGCTCTTCATGTGACTACTGATTTCTTTTTAGGGTGATTAATTTAAGGCTTTATTTCTTTCAGTTCAATTCTTAAATGTAAATTAGTTAAATGATAAGTTTAATAATAGGAATCCCCAAACATTCAATTTTCTGGACAAGATATGGCTCTCTACTGTAGATCTAAGGTCTTCTTCCCCATGAAATGTAACATCCATGTAGGCTGACAATAATCTAGAGGTTAACAAGTGAATGTTTGTTCAATAGACTTTGCACACCCACAAGGTTACAAAGGTGACTCATGTTATCTCTCTTCCACTTAATGATATAACAGAAGTGACAAAGAGCAGTGCAAATTGCTCCCCGTGGACATTTCAGTGTGTACCTTAAAAAGAAAGTGAAATGAAGAGGAGGAAGAGTTCATCTTATCTCAAGGAAAAGACTAATACAAAAGAATCTGACAAAACATTCAGATTTTTAAAGCTGTGTCTGCTCAGGCATTAAGAGCTAATGGAAATTTGCAGCAGATGCTCCAATTTTCCCTGAACATTTATGTAAGTATCTCATTTTAGAGGCTGCATACATTTGGGGATAAGTACAGTAATGGCAGCTATAAAACAGATATGACAACATAAAATACATCAAGAAACACCTGAAAAACCAGTTTGGGTCCACATGCAAAATCAATGCACAAGTTAAATCTCATAAAACCAAAAGTATCTGTTAAAAACGGTTAGATAAACAGCTCATAATAAAGGATACACAGAGGGGAAGTTACCTTAAGGCTAACTCCTCAAATTGTCACAAAAATTTTACTTACACCACAAATGCAGAGAGATATATATTTATATACACACACGTATATATACAAGTTATATGCATATATATGAGATTGCATGTCAAGTGAAGTAAAATTTATCTGAATAAATAAAAGAGATGAAAATAATACAAATATAATCCCAGTGGCTCAATAATGACTTTGACATGGATTATGATAATCTGCATACTACCCTTGGCCTCCCAGAGATCAGTGTAAACACAGCTTTAAAAATTACCACGGTGGTAGTGTGTGGGTAAGGTGGAGGGGGTAGGTATAAAGTAAGAATGACAGGTTCTGTAACTGAAGTTGAGTGATGTGTACCTATGAGTCCATTATACTATTCTTACTACTTATGTAAATGCTTAAAAATTTTCATACTAAGAAGTTAGAAAAAATTGTTATGCGCAAGGCACAAAGCAAGATATCAAGAAGAATGGAAAAATTTTAAATTCATAGTACTCATAGCTTAAAACTGAGCTAAGTGGCTAAGACAAACATATTTAGAAGTTAAAAAGAATTAACAGCTTCTAAACAATGCAACAGTACACAACGTAAAACAGAAGGCAACAGTCAATGACAAAGTCCTAAAAGAGACTAAGAGTTCTGGCTAGGAAAAGGTAAGTAAATTAAGGCTTCTTAAAGAGGTAAGACGTACACTGGATCCCAAAGGATGGGCACTGTGCCAGATGTCACCCATTTGCCCTCTGGACTCACTGAATCCCCCCCCTTTACTCCGTTCTCTGTCTCAGGAGAGATTACATCATTAGGCTCCCCTGCTCTCTGGTTTCTGGCTGAGGTCAGCCAATGGAGAGCCATGACAGATCAGAGGGAGGCAGCAGAGTGAGATCAGAATATTCATCATCCTGGTTCACTACCTCTAGGTCACCTTGGGCTGGCTGTGTTCCTCAAAAGAAGGCCACTTTTCTCCAGGTAGGCCACTCTACAAGACTCTTCTGATTATGGTACCTATTCCTTTCTCCTGGTGCTGCTAGCTCCAGATAACTGTATTATTCCTGAGGTTTGACTGTGTAAGTCCAACACCTTTATTATTAGTATTTCTGTAAACATACTCTCCTTGAATTATCCTATTTGAGTGTGTCATTTGCTTCTTTAGAATACTGTGGATACGAGTTGACACAAGGGTAAGACTGACAACGAAGGCAGCCGTAACATTACTGTATTTTTGGAAGTGAGAATAAGCATGCTATCTAGGGGTTAGTGAAGAGATCAACATGGCTGAACAGGAAGGTTCACGAGGAGAGAAGACTAGAGGCATTAGCAAAACAGATTTCTTGTTTGGACTCTTCAGATATAACATTAGAACAAATACACTGAATAAATAAACAAACAAAAGTTGTATCCCAAACCAGAAAAATTCTATAACCTTTTCCACCAAGTCTCTTAAATCTTTCCTTGACAACAGTATCTACAGGCAAAAGCCTATAATTAATGTCTTTTCCAAGAAAAGTTAAAAGCCAAAGTATCTTGGTTGTCTTTATTTTCTTATAATTTGCTGTTTGGTTTATTTGTGTATCTAATTAGTTCTTTTTAGTTACAGCAGCATGGTTATCAAGTTGAACAATTCATATGGACCCAGAGAGAAGGCTGTAATTTTCTGTGTATATGTGAAGGCAGTACAATATAATACAAAAGAACCTTCTCTTTCAGAGTAAGAATTTGTTCTTTTCCAACTAGAAAAAAAAATTGTACTATAAAAGTAATGGCCAATTAATTCCCCATTCTTCCTGATTATAATTCTAAAATAAAAACATTAGTCCAGCTCAGTGGCTCACACCTGGAATCCCAGCATTTTAGGAGCCCTAGGTGGGAGGATTGCTTGAGGTTAGGATTTGAAGACCAGCCCGGGCAACATGCTGAAATCTTGTCTATACAAAAAATTAGGAAAAAAATTAGCCAGGCATGGTGGTGCAGGCCTACAGTCCCAGCTACTCCAGAGGCTGAGGTAGGAACATGGCTCGAGCCCAGGAGTTCAAGGCTGCAGTGAGCTATGATCACACCACTGCACTCCAGCCTGGGCAACAGAGCAAGACCCTGTCTCTAAATAAATGAATGAATAAATGCAAACAACAACAAAAAACTCCATTTATTTTGCTCCAGCGAAAAGAACGTAGGGGACATAAGCTTATGGGCCGCTCCCCTAAGTGCCCTCAGTCAGCTGTGTGACCTGAGGCAAGTCACTGTGTCTGAGGGTTTTAGATTCCTCAGATGTAATATGAGAGGGTA